CAAAAACTTTTCAATAAGATGAGATCCCAGTTGTTGATTCTTTGAAGTATTTCCCTTGCAGTTTGGTTTTTGTTCATGAACTCTCTGCCTACCCCTATGTCTTCTAGATTTTTATCTAGATTCACTTCCCGTAGATTTAGTGTTTCTGTTTTAATGTTTAAATCTTTGTCCATTTTGATTTGAGTTTGGTGCATGGTGATAGACATGGGTCTGGATTCAGTCTTTGACATGTGGTGAGCCAGCTTTTCCAACACCATTTATTAAAGAGGCTATCTTTCTTCCACTGAACAGGTTTGGCCCTTTTGTTAAAAATAAGTTGGCTGAGTGTGTTTGTGGTTGTGGCTGCACCTTCCAGTCTGTTCCACTGATCTTCAGGGCTTTTCTTTCCAGCACCATGTTGATCTTAACCCTGTGGCCTTGTAGTATAATTTCAAGTCAGGGACTGTGATATCACTTGACTTGTCTTTGTTGCCCAGGATTGCTTTTGCTATTCTAGGTCTCTTCTGGTTCCAGATGAATCTTAGGAATGTTTTCTCTAGATCTGTGAGGTATACTAATGGTATTTTGCTTGGGATTGCATTGAATCTGTACAACAATTTTGGGAGTATGGCAATTTTCATGATGTTGGTTCTTCCAATCCATGAGCAAGGAATATCTTTCCATTTTCTGAACTCTTCTTCAATCTCCTTCTTCAGAGTACAGTAGTTTTCATTGTAACGATGTTTCACTTCTTTTGTTAGATTGATTCTTAAGTATTTCAATTTTTTGGATGCTATTGTGAAAGGTATGGTTTCCTTAATTTCTTTCTCGGTGTGTTTGCTATTTGTGTATAGGAATGCTACTGATTTTTGAGTATTGAATTTGTATCCAGTTATGCTACTGAATTTGTTGATTAATTCTAGGAGTCTTTTGGTGGAGTTTTTGGGGTCTTCCATGTAGAGTATCATGTCATCTGTGAATAATGATAATTTCACTTCTTCCTTTCCTATCCTTAATCCCTTTATTTCTCTGTCTTGTCTAATTGCTCTGGTTAATGTTTCCAAAACTATGTTGAATAGGAGTGGTGACAGTGGACATCCTTGTCTTGCTCCTGATTTTGAAATGAAAGCTTTCAGTTTTTGTCCATTTAGTATGATATTGGCTATTGGTTTGTCATAGATGGCTTTGATCAGATTGATTTAAAGACTATCTATACTTATTCTCTGCAGGGTTTTTATCATGCACGAATGCTGGACTTTGTCAAAAGTTTTTTCTGCATCAATGGAGATGATCATGTGGTTTTTGTCTTTGAATCTATTGATATGGTGTATTACATTAATTGATTTGTGTGTACTGAAACATCCCACATCCTTAGGAAGAATCCCACTTGGTCATGGGGTATAATTTTCTTGATGATTAGCTGCATTCTATTTGCTAATATTTTATTGCGTATCTTTGCTTCTGTATTCATTGGTGAGATTGGCTGTAGTTTTCTTTCTTGGTTGGGTCTTTCTCTGGTTTTGGTATTAATATAATATGTGCCTCCCGAAATGAGTTAGGGAGAATTGCTTTCTTTTCAGTTTCATTGAAGAGTTTGAGAAGAATTGGCATTAAATATTCTCTGAATTTCTTGTAGAATTCAGCTGTGAATCCATCATGACA